CTCACCTGAAACTCTACAGGCCAGAAGGGAATGGCAGGCAGTACTCAAGGTAATGGAAAGCAAGGCTCTGAGACCAAGATTACTATATCCAGCAATGCTATCATTCAAAATATACAGTCAAATAAAGAACTTTCTAGACAATAAGAGGCTAAAGGGTACAACCCCACCAAGCCGGCATTACAAATAAATGCTAAGGGGACTGCTATAATGAGAAGAAGAAATACGAGAGAAACCTAGGCATACAGAATTAACATGACAATAAATATCTATCAGTAATATAATAACTCTAAATGTAAATAGATTAAATGCTCCAATGAAAAGGCATAAGATAGCTAAATGGATACAAAAATAGACCCAACTAAATGCTGTCTACAAGAGACCCACTAAAGAACAAAAGACACACACAGATGAGATTGAAGAGATGGGAAATTTTTTTCCATGTAAATGGGAAAGAAAAACAAAACAAAACTGGAATAGCAATGGTCATAGTCAATAAAATAGACTTCAAAATGTAGGCCATCACAAGAGACAACAAAGGTCACTACATCACACTAAAGGTATTGATCCAGCACAAGGATATAACCCTGGCAAACATATATGCACCCAGTATAGGAGCACTTAAATTTTTTTTTTAATCAATCTTTATTGTTCATATTATTACAAAGGTTCCTCATTTCTTCCCCCCTTCACCAGGTTCCCACCCCATCCTCTGCCCCCTCCCCACCCCCCATTGTCCTCATCCATAGGTGCACAGTTTATGTTCAGTCTCTTCCCTCATCCACCACTCCTCCTTTCCCGGAGAACTGTCAGTCCACTCCCCTCCTGTATCACCTACTCTACTACAATCAACAGCTAATATTGTTCATCAGGTTTTTCAATCTCCTTTTTTTTTTTAATTAATAAACTTTTACACTTCTAAGAATAAATTTTAAAATCTAATAATTTTAAACCTTGTTTTTTCTGCCCTGGGAATTGAGAAGCAAACTTGTTTACATGTAAATTTGCCATTAGGCTATCAAAAGGTGTAGCCATTCAAGTGTAAATGAACACATTGTTTAAAGATAGCTGCTGGTTGGAATTGGATTACCTGTTCTGGGTGGGAAGGGCTTGTCCTCCCCTTTCTCCATTAAAATTAAGGTGTTAGCTTTAAAACCTCTTTTTGGCAAGAGACCTTAAACTTTCAGAACTTTAAATTTTTCAGATAGTAAATCAGTTACTTAGCATTTTCTCAAATCAATAATACCTCCACATGCCCAAGGATACACTTCACACAAAAGACATTTCCAAATAGATCAACCAACCTCATCCAGGCCCCACACAAGGCACTCACAGATCAACACCCCAGCGCTATACTAACTCAATACATCCAGATCTAAGCCTTCATCACTTGATTCAGCAGACCCTCAAGTTCCCCCAAAAGTTTCCAGCCATGTCTGAGAGGCAGCCCTGGGGCGGGGGTAGGCGAGGAGTGAGCTGTTCCGGGCCTGGCTGCTCCGGGCCTGGCCTCTGTTGCTCTGGTCCGCTCCACAACCAGCTGCTCTGCTCCTGGCCTGGATGCTGCTATTCTGGGCCTGGTTGCTCCCGACCTGGCTGCTCCGGGCTTGGTTGCTACTGCTCCGGGCCTGGCTGCTCCCGACCCGGCTGCTCTGGGCCCCGCTGCTCTGGGCCCAGCCGAGGAGCACTTAAATTTGTAAAAATAATTCTGGAGAACTTTAACAGAGAGATGAACAACAATCCAGTCACAGTAGGGGCGGAGGGCCAGGCCAGGGCACCCTAAAGGCCGCCTTCTGACCGCGCCCATGGTGACATCACGGCCAGGCGAGTGGACTGTGAACCTCAGAGGAAAGGCAGGGGAGGTGGGTGGGCGGGAAGAGATCAAACAAAGAATTTGTGTGCATATATGCAAAACCCATGGCACAGACAATGGGTGGAGGGCCTGGGGTGGGGGTGGGTGTGGGCTAGAAGAGGTTCATGGGGGAAAAAGGACTTATGTAATACTTTCAACAATAAAGCTAAAACAAAAAAGTCTTTGGAAACGAACCACGTGGGGTTTGTCTGCCCCGTGGTGGCCGGCCCTCTGAGGACGGCAGCCACAGGCGCAGGAGCGGGTGGCGTTGGAAAGGCATTTGCAGGGAAGCGTCATTTCTCTGGGACAAAGAGGTGTGGCCGCCGCCGGGCGGCAGTTACCCAATTACCCTCCTTGTCTGACCAGTGAGCTGAGGAAAGGGCCTGGTCAAAATGTGGGGAATAAAGTTCCAGCAAGCTACATGTTTTGTTCTAAAAGTAAAAAAAAATCCCACCAGCCCCAGGTCTCCAGGCTCCTGAGGCTGCGCCTCCTGTTCCAGGTTGTTCGGGCCTTGGCGGGGCGTGCCGCACCTCAGCGCACAGGCTCTGATCACCACCCGAGAATGACACCATGCGAACTGCGAAGTAGCGGAGTACTACCGCGAATCATGGAATGCCAGCCTCACCATAAACATGATTTGGGCAGTGCCACGAATGCAGACCGCGCTGAGACATGGCATGAATAGCTGTGCTTCTTTAGGTTTTTATATGAACACCCCTGCCCCCGGTAGTGGTGCACCCCACCACAAAGCGTGGCACAACCGAAGGGGATGTCAGCCAAGTGTCAGATTTGCAGGCCAATTTCTGGTTTGCCCCTGGCCTCACCGCCCGCCACGGGCCCAGGCCATTCTGTAATCGCGCAGAGGGTGGGACCGGCTCCGAGGATCTGCATCACTGACATGCACGTTGCTACCATATTTGGTTACAGGGTTTCAACACCATACTCTCTCCTTCGTGTATATACAGAATTCGATAATGAGTGTATAGAATTCAAAATTTTTATTGAAAAGAAGAAAATATAGAAAAAAAGTTAAATGAAGCTAAATTTATAATTTATCATCCAACAAATAGGGAAAAATTTACACTGATAATAAGATAAATAGCAATCCATTTTTCAAAATTTACACAGTCATGAAATTTCTTTATCTAACTTTTAATAAGGGAAAGCTGAATTTGATTTACTGACTTTATAAGTAGTGTTATAAAAAATTTCATGTTCTTCTCCTTCAGTTCCAGAGAGTTCCACTCTTTATAATATTTATTAAAAACAGCAGGAAAAATCAAGAAATTTCTTTTTAAGGTCATTTTCTATTTCAGCCTTCCTTTTCAAGTTTCATAAATGAACTACTTAAAATTCACTCTTGGCAGTCTCAAAAATACACATCACATCTCTTGAATCATATTCCTATAATAAAATTCCAAAGTAAATCAGTTTTAATTTATTTTCAGCAGATGTAACACATATTTTATAGACACATTTTCATTTAGAATCCAGATGTTTGGCACAGAATCCCAAGCCTGTAGTTTTCAAACGGAGTCTCCTCTGCTTCCCGCCGGCCACCTCGGGCCTGCCTCCCGGGGGTGGCACCTCGGCTCCGCCGGGGCCGTGCTCCTGCTCGAAGCCTGAGAAGGTGGCGAGGACAGTGACTGCGCGTCGGTGGGGGAAGAAGTGGGAGAAAAGCCACTGCCAAGGTGTCTAGGTGCTGTCTTTAAACGTACGCATTCTTCTTCCGTCAGCCACACTGTGGCCACGCTACCCTTGCGCTACCGCCAATGTGGCTTAATTTCATGTCCGCGGCCAGACACTTGGAATCTGGTTCAGTCACGTTTTAAAGAGGGTTTTTCCCCAGAAAAAAAGTCAGTCCAATAAAATCTGCAGTATAAGAGACAGAAACTCAAGTCATCTTTAATGCTTATGTCCCCCTGCTTGCTCTTCCTGCTGTGCTTTTAAAACTACTCAGGTGAGTAGAGTCAAGTTTTATATGAGAACTGAGTTACCACTTTGTTTGGGGAGGCGGGGGTAAAAACTAGTGCAAAACAACAGACCTCCCACACTCTCTAAAGTGCTTCCTGCCTGAATAAAGTTCAAACCTGAACTCTAACCAACTTGTTAAACATGGAATACTGTTCATACAAACCTTCCATCTTGTCTGCTAAAGCCTCTGCGTTCAAAGTTCTGCGATGCTCGACAGAAAAATTCTCGAGAGACAGTGACAGGTGGGCGCGAAGGGACTCCCCAGCCTCCGCTCCCAGGCCCCGCCCACCCTGCCTTCGCCCCCCCAGCCTCCGGCCCCCCAGCCTCCGGCCCCCCAGCCTCCATCTCCCCAGCCTCCGGCCCCCCAGCCTCCATCCCCCCAGCCTCCGGCCCCCAGCCTCCATCCCCCCAGCCTCCATCCCCCCAGCCTCCATCCCTCCAGCCTCCGGCCCCCCAGCCTCCATCCCCCCAGCCTCCATCCCCCCTGCCTTCTCCCCCCAGCCTCCATCCCCCCTGCCTTCTCCCCCCAGCCTCCATCCCCCCTGTCTTCTCCCCCCAGCCTCCCTCCCCCCAGCCTCCGCCCCCAGCCTCCCCGCTGTAATGCCACGTGTTTCAGCGGGTGCCGCCCTCTCCCCTCTCACTGGAGGCCCCACAGTGTTACCCACAATCTTTCTCTTTGCACCACTGACACATGAAGAGGCGACGGAATCCATATGTCACCCCAACACATGTAGAACGAGGAACAAATAAAATCGGCTGATTGTCATCCTTCCTGGGCGGGCTCTGGGCCAGTCCCCAGTGCTCCTGAGCTCAGTATGGAGCCGGGAGGCCGGGCTCTGCACCATGGCCACTGGGAACCCAGACCACAGGGAGCCCCAGCCACCAGGAGTACCCACCCCACCTCCCCCCGCCACCAGGAGGCCCCCCTCCTCCCCCCACCAGGAGGCCCCCCTCTCCCCACCAGGAGGGTCCTCCCCCCCCCCCTCCACCAGGAGTACCCCCCCCCCCGAACCTCCCCCCCTCCACCAGGAGGCCCCCCCCACCCCGCCACCAGGAGGCCCCCCTCCTCCCCCCACCAGGAGGCCCCCCCCACCCCGCCACCAGGAGGCCCCCCCTCCCCCCGCCCCCCTCGGCCACCAGGAGCCGTCGCGGGAAGGTCTTCAGAGCACTTTCAGGGCCGTTCACTTACAACTGACCACAGATAAACACATTTTTTCATAAATAAAAATTGAGGCATATGCATATATTAAAATTTTCACCGACAGAGTGAGCTAAAAATGTCAAATTCAGTCACTGAAGTTCAATGAAGGCACACATGTTTTACTTAGCTCTGCAAAGACTACAACTGCTCAACTCATAGACACGTCCTGGGCTTCTCGCAGGCTCTCCTCTTCCTGGGACAAGCAACCGTCCGCCAGTCCAGGGCGTGACGCCCAGAGGGCGCGGCCGGGGGGGACCTGGTCTGCTGGGAGCAGTGACAGCGGTGCGGGCTGCCAGGCCTGGGCTAGGGCCGCTCACTCCCCCAGCGAGCCCTGGGGCCTCCGGGCTCCGAGGCCCTTCGCACCAGCCTGGGGGGCGGCCTGGGCCGCTGGCTGTCCGCCGGGGGGCCCTCCCGCCCCGGGCCCAGCTGGCCGTGCGGGAGCAGGGGCTGCCGCAGCGCGCCCGGGGTCTGCGTGGCCCCCTCCCTGCGCGGGGGCGGCGGGCAGGACTGCCCGGCAGCACCGACGTCCACCTCGTGCTTCCACTCCATCCTGCAGGCGGGGGGCGCTCTCGGCGCGAACTGCTCCGGCAGGAAGCGCCTGGCGCGGGGCTTCAGGTTGAGGACGGTGGTCCCGGCATCCGCCTCCGAGTCACTGCTGTTGCCACCTGCACGGAGCAGAAGGTCAGGGGGTCCGGGCGCAGTGCGAGGGTCTGCGGTGGCCGCAGTGCGAGGCAGGCCCCTCCGACTCCACTGACAGCTGGCCGGGCCTGACCCCGCCCTGGGCACCTGGCACTCTAGCCACCCCTCTCAGGAAGGGACCAGGAGGCTTCCTGCCACTGTGTGGAGCCTGTGGGCACTGAGAGCAGCCGGGGCTGTGTGCCACCTGCCCCAGACCTAACCCTAACCCTAACCCTGCCCCGGCCCTGCCCCCAGACCTGCCCCGGACCTGCCCCCGGCCCTGCCCTGGCCCTGCCCCCAGACCTGCCTCGGACCTGCCCCCGGCCCTGCCCCGGCCCTGCACCGGACCTGCCCCCAGACCTGCCCCGGACCTGCCCCCAGACCTGCCCCGGCCCTGCACCGGACCTGCCCCCAGACCTGCCCCGGCCCTGCCCCCAGACCTGCCCCCAGACCTAACCCTAACCCTAACCCTGCCCCGGCCCTGCCCCCAGACCTGCCCCGGCCCTGCCCCGGCCCTGCCCCCAGACCTGCCCCGGACCTGCCCCCAGACCTGCCCCGGCCCTGCACTGGACCTGCCCCCAGACCTGCCCAGGACCTGCCCCCGGACCTGCCCCCAGACCTGCCCCGGACTTGCCCCGGCCCTGCCCCCAGACCTGCCCCGGACCTGCCCCGGACCTGCCCCCAGACCTGCCCCCAGACCTGCCCCGGACCTGCCCCCAGACCTGCCCCGGCCCTGTCCCGGACCTGCCCCCAGACCTGCCCCGGCCCTGTCCCGGACCTGCCCCGGCCCTGCCCCCAGAGCTGCCCCGGCCCTGCCCCCAGACCTACCCCAGACCTGCCCCCGGACCTGCCCCCAGAGCTGCCCCGGACCTGCCCCGGACCTGCCACCAGACCTGCCCCGGCCCTGTCCCGGACCTGCCCCCGGCCCTGCCCCCCGCCCTGCCCCCAGACCTGCCCCCAGACCTGCCCCCAGACCTGCCCCGGCCCTGCCCCGGATCTGCCCCCAGACCTGCCCCGGCCCTGCCCCGGACCTGCCCCCAGACCTGCCCCGGCCCTGCCCCGGCCCTGCCCCCAGACCTGCCCCCAGACCTGCCCCGGACCTGCCCCCAGACCTGCCCTGGACCTGCCCTGGAATCTACCCCAGGGACCTGCCCAGGGATCTGCCCCAGGGACCTGCCCCAGGATCTGCCCCAGGGACTTGCCCAGGGACCTGCCCCAGGATCTGCCCAGGGACCTGCCCCGGGATCTGCCCAGGGACCTGCCCTGGGACTTGCCCGGGATCTACCCCAGGGGCTCCGCCTCCCGCAGGAAGACACTGAGAGTTAGCTGCTATCAGGAAGGTCTTGCCTTGCCCTGATCTCATGTACAGCCGTGTTTATTCTCTTCATGTTTTTATAAAAGGGTCAAACAGAGGGAGGCCTTCCCGCTAGGGCCATTCGCTCCCCCAGCCAGCCTTGGGGCATCCAGCCTCCGAGGCCCTTCCGACCAGCCTGGGGGACAGCCTGGGCCGCTGGCTCTCACTTTCGTGGGCACTTTCCGAACAGAAGGAGGAGTTCAGATTAGAACCAGCTCTGTCAAAACGGGGGTCCCGGACTCCTGTGGGGAGCAGGTGCTGGGACACTGGGAGCTGAGTCTTGGAAACAGCGTTTCTGCTGGACATCGGTGGTCATGTGGCCACTGTCCTGCACGCCCAGCGTTCCCTGCCCTGCCTTCCCTCTCATTTCCCCCCTCAGCCTCCACACACAGGCCATCCTTAGACTTTCCTCTTCTTGGTTAAGTAAATAAACAAGGGAAAAAGGTGGGATATTGTTACAATCTACATTTTAAGAACATGATATCCTAGCATATTTCTTCTGGGGCTTGGAATCTACATAAAGATATAAAATAAAGAGATATCAGACTTTATGTAAAAGTTTAAATAATTACAGAAATAAAACATATGGCTGCTTTGTGAAAATATATTACAATTAGAGGCCTGGTGCACGGGGGCAGGGGGTGTCCCTCAGCCCACCCTACATCCTATCCAATCTGGGACTCCTTGAGGGATGTCTAACTGCCCAACTCCAATTGAGCAGTCGGACATCCCTCTCATAATCCAGGACTGCTGGCTCCCAACCACTTGCCTGCCTGCCTTACTGATTGCCCCTAACCGCTTTGCCTGCCAGCTTGATCACCCCCCTAACCGCTCCCCTGCCAGCCTGTTTACCCCTAACTGCCCTCCCCTGAAGGCCTGTTCCCGCCCAGCTGCTCTCCTCTGCCAGCCTGGTCACCCCTAACTGCCCCCCCCTGCAGGCTTGATCACCACAACTGCCCTCCCTTGCAGGCCTGAACCCTCCCAACTGCCCTCCCCTGCTGCCATCTTATGGTGGCCATCTTGTGTCCACAAAGGGGCAGGATCTTTGACCACATGGGACAGCCATCTTGTGTGTTGGAGTGATGGTCAATCTGCATATTATTCTTTTATTAGATAGGATAGAGGCCTGGTGCACAGGAGGGGGCCAGCTGGTTTGCTCTGAAGAATGTCCCAGATCAGGGTGGGGGTTCCCTTGGGGCATGGGATGGCCTGGGTAAGGGCCTTGTGGTGATTTATAGGATGACCACGCCCCCTGGCGACCCAAGGGGAGGCCCTGGGATCTGGAATTTACTTACCTTCTACAATTGAAACTTTGTAGCCTGGAGTGGAGGCTTTGGCCAGCCAGGGCAGGCGGAAAGCTTGGCATCTTCCATTGCTGGGAAACCCAAGCCTCCCTCTTACTCTCAGTGGCTGCAGCCACCTTGATTGGGGTTAATTTGCCTACTCATTCCTGATCGGCTGGTGGGCATGGCTTGTGGGTAATGGTTAATTTGCATATTACTCTTTTATTAGATAGGATTACCTTAAAAATTAAACACAACTTTGCACATTTACAGCTTTTCTGTTTACCAGTTCACTAACCACAGGGTAATAGTATTTGCTTTTGCTATATCTAATAGAGTCATTATGAAAAGTAACTGACTGAATTCTGGATGTGCACGTAACTCCATTAAAAAAGGCTGCAATGCTAATAAAGGCCAGTGTGTTGTTACTTAGATTTGCAAACTATTGAGCTCATTGTGCGTAATGAAGCAGGACAGAAACATCTTCCTCTCTCCAGCGGTGCTCATACCTGCATTAGGGACATTCCTCTTCTTCAGCTTCTCCGGCAGCTTTGTGTTTTTGGGCAAGGACAGGTACCGGGAGGCTGACGTGGATGCCTGCACAAGAAACAGAACACCTCAGATGATGCGGATGGCAATCATTAGAAGTTTAAAATATCATGACAAACTTTATTAAAGTGTAACATGTTCGATCTCAATGCCTAGCAATAATTATTTAATTTAAAATCACTGAAACTCTCCTGAATATAGAAGAAGCCAGGAGGGGGAAAAAGAAAGAAGGAAATAACTTGGGGTGGGACCATTTGGAACAAGACGTGAAAATCACTGTGTTTTCTTAAGGAAAAGAGACCAAACCACCTACTTATGACAATATTAGCAAAAAAGCCTCAGGACTGATAGGTATGCAGGAGAAGATAGATGAAAAATTGTAGCATATTTTAGTTTTATTTACTTGAATGCCTTGAAAATGATAGAACAAAAAGCATTACTATAGCTATTTTGCTGACATTTTCATTGCCATTGTCTTTAATTTTTAATCAATACTGCCACATTGAACACAAAGATAATTTTGTTCAAACATAAAATTTTTATCTCTGATAACCAAATACAGAATATTATAAAAATAAGACCTGGCTGGCATGGCTCAGTGGTTGAGCATTGATCTATGAACCAGGAGGTCACAGTTTGATTCCTGGTCAGGGCACATGCCCGGGCTGTGGGCTGTGCAGGAGGCAGCTGATGAATGATTCTCTCTCATCATTTATTTCTCTCTCTCCCCATTGTTTGGACATTAATAACATATATCTATATATATAAAAAGGCAGCTACCGTAATGGCCATAACAACCTAACAACCATTTGATATGACGTCCACTGTGGCCAGTGAACTGGCTCGATCAGGGGGTGGGGCTGGTGGACAACCTCGCAGACCCTCCCCCCTGCCAGCCTGCCCCTTATTGCACTCTTCTACCCCGATCAAGAGCAGGGCCTGCCGGACACATGCCCCCTTGCTTCCCCCCCTGGCCAGCCGCACCCCTAATCAGCCACCCTAATAGGCCTGCAGTCCCCCCACCCCCTTAGCTGGCCCACCCCTAATTCCGCCCCCTCAACCTTCTGCAGCCCCTCCCGCTGGCCAGCCATGCTCCCGATGGGCCCCCACCCACCCTGATCAGCTCACAGCTTCTCCCCTGGCCAGCACTACCCCTCATCACCACCTCACCTCAATAGGGGGTGGGGTTGGCTGGCCAATATCCCGAAGCTACTCCCCCCTCCCAGTTCCACCCCAGATCGGCCCCCCCACCCTGATCAGGGGCAGGGCTGGCCAGCCAACCACTCATGGCCCCTCCCCCAGGCTGCTGGCCCCTGATCGGCACCCCCCACTCACCCCATTTAGGGGCAGGGCCAGCTGGCCCAATGCCCACAGCCTCTCCCCATGGCTGGCCCCACACCCAATCAGTCTTCCAACCTTAATCAGAGGTGGGGCCCACCGGCCAATTGCCCATGGCCCCTTCCCCCAGCCAGCCTGGCCCTGATCCAGGGCCCTGATTGGGCCCCGATCTGGGTGGGCTGGCCGGCCGACCTCCCACCATCCTCCCGACAGGTCCAGCCCTGACCCACCCAGATTGGGGCCAGGCCGGCCAGACACCACCCATGCACAAATTTATGCACTAGGCTTCTAATCTCATAAAGAGGAAATGTGCTAATTCTGTGGTTGGCAAACTGCAGCTCACGAGCCACCTGTGGCTCTCTGGCCCCTGAGTGTGGCTCTTCCACAAAATACCACAACCTGGGCGAGTCTATTTTGAAGAAGTGGCATTAGAAGAAGTTTAAGTTTAAAAAAATTTGGCTCTCAAAAGAAATTTCAATCCTTGTACTGTTGATATTTGGCTCTGTTGACTAATGAGTTTGCTGACCATTGTACTAATTGATCCTCATGCTATTGCAAAGACATTGACACTCACAGCCAATAAGGATGAAATATGCTAATTGGCTGCCCAACTCTCAAATATGGCAGCACCCACAGCCAGTAAGGAGGGAATATGCTAATTGACTGCCCCGCCCTCAAAGATAGCGGTGCTCAGACCCCTCAGCCCGCCAGTGCAGCAGTGTGTGGCAAGGCCTGGCCCACCAGCTGCTCTGCACACCTGCCACCAAAGTCTTCCAGTCCTCTCAGCTGCCCAGGGCTGGCCTGAGGTGCAGGCAAGCCTCAGATGGTGGCTGCCCAGCTGCCCAGGGCCGTGTGAGGCTCAGGTAACCAGGGCTGGCTGAGGCTTGTGCTGTCAGCAGTGGCAGCAGCAGAGGTGTGATGGGGCATTGCCTTCCCCTGATCCCCAGATCACCTCCCACCCCTGAGGGCTCCCAGACTGTGAGAGGGGGCAGGCTGGGTTGTGGAACCCCCCTCCAGTGCATGCACTGGGCCTCTAGTCCTATATAATAAAGGGTTAATATGCAAATTGACCCTTACACCCTCACACAAGATGGCCATCCCCATGTGGTCAAAGATGGCCATCACAAGATGGCTGTCAGGGAAGGGTAGTTGTGGGTGATTAGGCCAGCAGGGGAGGGCAGTTAGAGCTGACCAGGCTGGCAGGGGAGAGCAGTTGGGGGTGATCAGACTAGCAGGGGAGCAATTAGATGATGATCAGGCTGGCATGGGAGTGGTTAGAGGGTGATTTGGCTGGCATGCAGGCAAGTGGTTGGGAGCTAGTAGTCCAGGATTGTGAGAGTATGGGCCTAACCAGCAGTCAGACATCCCCTGAGGTGTCCCAGATTGGAAAGGGCTGAGGGACCCTCCCAGTGCACGAATTTCATCACCTGGCCTCCAGTATATATATAAAATAAAATGCATGCCTGCTGTGTTAAATTAAGCAATCATGGTAAAATGACTTTTCCAATCTATTAACAATGCACTGGACCCATTAAAACATTGAGCCAACTGTGCTGTGAACTTACTCCCAGCCACTGGCCTACTCAGTCAGCAAGCAGGTTGCCACCTTCCCCTATAGCCTTTCCCTGGAAGCTCAAATATTACCTCCCAAATGAAGCCTGGCCACCATGCTGTTTAAAATTGTAACTTGTGTGACCCTCTCAACTTCATTATTTGGCCATTTTTAATTTTTCCATAACACTTGACTTCTTTTAACATAATAACATAACATAGCATAACATAACATAACAAACATAACATAACATCACATCACATAACATAACATAACATAACATAACATAACATAACAAACATAACATAACATCACATAACCTCTTTATAACATGATTTCGTGCACCTTAAAAGGAACTGTGGGCCTTGAGGCTGCAGTGGGCACAGGGACGGGTCTTAGCCCATCCTCCATGCCCCTGCCCTGCTCCTCCACCACAGCCCCTGGTTCCCTGTCTGCTGGCAGACTCACTCCTGCTGCTGCTGCTGTGCCCATGCAATGATGGCACTGGCCCTGCAGAGCGGTTGGGGCCAACGCCTGCAGCAGATGCGATTGGGGCTGGCACTGTCATAAGGTGGAGTGGCAGCTGCTGCCCTGATCACCCCTCAGGAGCAGGAGGAGGTGGAGAAGCCCCAGGGGTGATTGAGGCTGGCAGCTGCCATTTGCACCTGCTGACGGCACTGAGCGATCAGCACCGGGCGCCGGCAGCATGTGTGAGCAGCAGCTCCAGTGCCGTCAGTGGTGCGAGCACTGGGTGGGACTGTGGTGCATGGAAGCAAAGAACTTTCAGTAACCACCAGAAGCTTGCCCCAATGACAGCGACAGGTGCCCCGCCTTGGTCTGGCCCCCTGTCCGTCTCCTTCCGCGTGCACTCCTGGTGGTCAGGACATGTCATAGCGACTAGTTGTTCAGTTGTTCTGCTGTTCAGTCTATTTGCACATTAGCCTTTTATTGTATAGGATTTGCTTATTCTGTCTGCTGGTGACCACATTCCCTGAGGAGATTATGAATTCTACAAGCACAGGAATCTTTCCGTTTTGTTTACCAATGTATCTCCAGTGCCTAGAACCGAGGGCAGAACACAACAGGTGCTCACAAAACCTCTAAAAGACTTAAATTCCCTCTCTCCCAGAATTCCTGCGAATCAGCCCTCAGCAGAACTTCCAGAGCCCCAACGTCCTCACCCTGCGCTCCCGACTCAAGCTGCTGTCTTTGCGAATGCTCTCTCGCAAACTGTGTCTTCGGCGGATCAGGATCTCCTTGGCTTGTCTCTCACTCGTATCAGCCGTCAGGTTGTGTCTGTTGTATGACAGAGTCTGAAATAAAAACAAAGCGACATTTTACCAAAACAACAACAAAAACTGATCACTGACCCAGAAATCCCAAAACTTTACTACCTTTCTTTGGCACACCATCTCAGCGAGGTACTTAACAACAAACGTGCAGAGAGAAAAAAGTATGAAAGATAACATTCTTTCACATTTTGAAATAATTTGTCCTCTAATAAAGCTGAGAAAAATGATGAATTTATTAAGTGCCTTTGTCTACCTTGAAGGACCTTTCCCCATCATTATTGGTTGGGGAAAGAAAAAATACAAGTCCGCTTTATCCATCCTCTGTGGATTAGCAATTACTGGCATTAAAAAAAACCACTTTGAGCCCCTTGGTGGGGCCATGTTCTTGATTAATCAACGGAGGCACAGGTCTTCTTTCCAGTGGCTGAAAGCTGAGCAAGCTGCTGCTACTGCCTGCAATACTCATGACCTTTTCTTTGAAGCTGTGAAATGTCTCAAGGCAGACACTTTATTTTATAAGCTATATAGAAATCTGTTCCTAATTGGCAATTAGGCTCATTTTCTGATAGAATTGATGCATTCTTCTTGGGAATATTCCTGTGTCCAGGCTGTATTAGGCCTAGTGGAAATGTACAGAAGTAACATAGAACAGGACTCAATTCCTGCCTGGGGAAATGTGCCATTGAAGGCTAACAAAATAACACAATCATGAAATTAAGTACTGAACGTATGTGGTATAGCACACGCTCATTTAAAAATAAGGTTGGGAATAATATGTAAGGTGTTGGGTAAATGGAAGAATATGGATCAATGGAGTTGATAGAAAGCAGCAGTGGAGACAGGGAAGAGAGGCCCCCAGGCTAGGAAGGAAGACAGAACCTGTACTACGTAAGAGTTTGGGGTGGGTGCTGGAGGGAGGGAGGCTTGGAAATAAGGATGGAAAAAATGGAACCTGAAAATAGAGATTTCAGGTTCTGAAAAAAACAGGTTTTCCTGGAAGCCACAATTGTTTTGTTTCATTTTTGAATGCTGGGCACTTCCAAGCCCCATAAAAGAGGAGGAATCTGCAGGTCTCTCTGTAGCTCCTGCTGGGTGGCAGTGGCTGACTTTGCACATCCCTGGAGACCCAAGAGCCAATGTACCCAGTGGTCAGTGTGAGAACACACCAGATCACAACGCTACACATCCACAAGCAGCACACTCCAGGGGCAGACTAAGTGAGCACCAAAGCTCCATTGAAGCAAGTCCTGCTCGGTAGGGCTGTCTTCTGCACAGCAGCTTTGCCACTGTAGTCACCTCTGGTCTTCACAGCCAATTGGCCTGGAGGTCAAGTCCTCCCAGTGAGGCCAATCAACAGCAATCAAGGTTCAACTACAAGAAGGTTGTGCTCACAGCCCACAAAGGGGTGCACTTAAGAGTGTCCAGATCAGGTGACTGGGAGGCTGAGCTACTGGGCCCTATAAAACACCTACCACACAAGGTCATCCTACCAATTAAAGGAGACATAGCAGCTCTACTTTATACATAGAAACAAACACAGGAAAGCAGCCAAAATGCAGAGACAAACACATCACAAAGAAAGAAAATTAATGGATATAGAGTTCAAAACCATGGCTATAAGGTTACTCAAAGATCTTTATGACACCTTCAAGGGACTTAATGAGATTTTCAAGGATCTTAGTGAGAATGCCAAATGGATCAGTCAGAAATTAAGCACACAGTAACTTAAATAAAGAATAATTTACAGGGATTCAACAGTAGAGGATTCTGAGAATCAAGTTAACAGTTTGAAATATGAGGAAGCAAAAAATACCCAAACAGAACAGCAAGAAGAAAAAAGAATCCAAAAATATGAAGATAGTGTAAGGAAACTCTGGGACAACTTCAAGCATACCAAGAGTCACATTATGGGGGTTCCAAAAGAGAGCGAGTGAGCAAGATATTGAAAACCTATTTGGAGAAATAACAACAGAAAACCTCCCTCACCAGTCCCTTATAAGTCCATGAAGCACAGAGAGTCCCAAGCAAGAGGAATCCAAAGAGGACCACACCAAGACACATCATAATTAAAATGCCAAGAGCAAAAGACAAACAGAATCTTAAAAGCAGCAAGAGAAAAGCACATAGGGAGTGCCCATACAATTGTCAGCTGATTTCTCAACAGAAGCTATGCAGGTCAGAAGGGAGTGGAAAGAAATATTCAAAGTAATGAATAGTAGGGACCTACACCCAAGATTACCCAGCAAAGCTATCATTCAGAATTAAATGTCAGATATGCCCCCCTCAACTCTAGCCTATGCTCCCTCTGCTATCACTATCTCTCCTTGGAGACTTTGCAAGGTTCACATTTATCATGTTTCTCATCAAAACCTAGCAAAGGCTCTGATCTCTGCAAGAGAAGTTCAGGGTCTTGCCATGAACTGAAAGTTCCCTAACATCTTCTTCTTGGTTTTCTGCCCTTGTTCCCTCCGTTCTGCCAACACTCAGCCCCCAATCTGTGCCTGCCTTAGCCCCTGGCTCCCTGCCCTCTGTTCCTTCAGGGCTTGCTAAGGAGCCCTAGTCTAAGACCACATCCCTCTCTGATGCCAGGACCCTTGTGCGGGTGTCATGCAGAGCAGGCAGCTGCTCCCTCTGTGCTGTGGCTTCACGGCCCACAGCACTCTGACTGTGTGTGTGAGAATGGAAGTATCTTTTCCCTCTTGTTGGCTATAACTCCTCATGTAACTCTTGTTCTCCCTGCAGTGCTGGCACAGGATAGGTGCTCGGCTGGTGCTGCCTGCTGGGTTGCCACCTCTGCTGCATGGGAAGCCCCTGGATTACCTGCCCAGCCCCAGGCTCCAGCGCTGCTGAGGGCCCTGTGGTGGGAGCACAGCTCTGAGGGCTCTGTGTGGGGAGCACAGCTCTGAGGGCTCTGTGGTGGGAGCACAGCTCTGAGGGCTCTGTGGGGGGAGCACAGCTCTGAGGGCTCTGCGGGGGGAGCACAGCTCTGAGGGCTCTGCGGTGGGAGCACAGCTCTGAGGGCTCTGTGGTGGGAGCACAGCTCTGAGGGCTCTGTGGTGGAGCACAGCTCTGAGGGCTCTGTGGGGGGAGCACAGCTCTGAGGGCTCTGTGGGGGGAGCACAGCTCTGAGGGCTCTGTGATGGGAGCACAGGCAGCTCTGAGGGCTCTGTGGTGGGAGCACAGCTCTGAGGGCTCTGTGGTGGAGCACAGCTCTGAGGGCTCTGTGGGGGGAGCACAGCTCTGAGGGCTCTGTGGTGGAGCACAGCTCTGAGGGCTCTGTGGTGGGAGCACAGCTCTGAGGGCTCTGTGGTGGGAGCACAGCTCTGAGGGCTCTGTGGTGGGAGCACAGGCAGCTCTGAGGGCTCTGTGGTGGGAGCACAGCTCTGAGGGCTCTGTGGGGGGAGCACAGACAGCTCTGAGGGCTCTGTGGGGGGAGCACAGCTCTGAGGGCTCTGTGGTGGGAGCACAGCTCTGAGGGCTCTGTGGGGGGAGCACAGCTCTGAGGGCTCTGTGGGGGGAGCACAGCTCTGAGGGCTCTGTGGTGGGAGCACAGCTCTGAGGGCTCTGTGGTGGAGCACAGCTCTGAGGGCTCTGTGGGGGGAGCACAGCTCTGAGGGCTCTGTGGTGGGAGCACTGACAGCTCTGAGGGCTCTGTGGTGGGAGCACAGCTCTGAGGGCTCTGTGGTGGGAGCACAGCTCTGAGGGCTCTGTGGTGGGAGCACAGACAGCTCTGAGGGCTCTGTGGGGGGAGCACAGCTCTGAGGGCTCTGTGGTGGGAGCACAGCTCTGAGGGCTCTGTGGTGGGAGCATAGCTCTGAGGGCTCTGTGGTGGGAGCACAGCTCTGAGGGCTCTGTGGTGGAGCACAGCTCTGAGGGCTCTGTGGGGGGAGCACAGCTCTGAGGGCTCTGTGGTGGGAGCACTGACAGCTCTGAGGGCTCTGTGGGGGGAGCACAGCTCTGAGGGCTCTGTGGTGGAGCACAGCTCTGAGGGCTCTGTGGGGGGAGCACAGCTCTGAGGGCTCTGTGGTGGGAGCACAGGCAGCTCTGAGGGCTCTGTGGTGGGAGCACAGCTCTGAGGGCTCTGTGGGGGGAGCACAGCTCTGAGGGCTCTGTGGTGGGAGCACAGCTCTGAGGGCTCTGTGGTGGGAGCACTGACAGCTCAGTGCTCTGTGGTGGGAGCACAGCTCTGAGGGCTCTGTGGTGGGAGCACAGCTCTGAGGGCTCTGTGGTGGAGCACAGCTCTGAGGGCTCTGTGGTGGGAGCACAGCTCTGAGGGCTCTGTGGGGGGAGCACAGCTCTGAGGGCTCTGTGGGGGGAGCACAGCTCTGAGGGCTCTGTGGTGGGAGCACAGCTCTGAGGGCTCTGTGGTGGGAGCACAGCTCTGAGGGCTCTGTGGTGGAGCACAGCTCTGAGGGCTCTGTGGTGGGAGCACAGCTCTGAGGGCTCTGTGGTGGGAGCACAGCTCTGAGGGCTCTGTGGGGGGAGCACAGCTCTGAGGGCTCTGTGGGGGGAGCACAGCTCTGAGGGCTCTGTGGGGGGAGCACAGCTCTGAGGGCTCTGGGGGGAGCACAGCTCTGAGGGCTCTGTGGTGGGAGCACAGCTCTGAGGGCTCTGTGGTGGGAGCACAGCTCTGAGGGCTCTGTGGTGGAGCACAGCTCTGAGGGCTCTGCGGTGGGAGCACAGCTCTGAGGGCTCTGTGGTGGGAGCACAGACAGCTCTGAGGGCTCTGTGGGGGGAGCACAGCTCTAAGGGCTCTGTGGTGGGAGCACAGCTCTGAGGGCTCTGGGTGGGAGCACAGGCAGCTGATGGCCTTCCTCCTCCCAACACAGGCCTGTGTGTCTGGGGCACCATGAACGCCATGGTCGCCCTCTGCCACTTCTGTGAGCTCCACGGTCCCGCACTCTCTTTTGCATGGAGGTTCTGCACGCCCCTCTCCCCACGGGGGCTGGGGACAGCCCCGGCCAGGGGGAGCAGGCCGAGGAGGAGGGAGCATCCAGATGAGCAGCGGGATCGACACACACAGCCCAACAGAAGGGGCCAGAACAGAATCCAGCCGCCCGGGACCCAAGAAATCAGACGTGTGTGGTCTGCCCCGGCCGGGAAGGCCCTATCTTCTTTGAGGACAAGCAGCGCGGGTTTGTGTTCAGCCACACCTTCTTCATCAAGACAGCCTGGCCCGGGGCTGGCAGTGCTGGTACAGCACCACCACCATCATGAGGGACCCATCTACCTCGTCAGCTCCCAGCCCTCCTGCTTGGGAAGACCTGCGGGAGCACCGATGAGCTCCAGGGCAAGGCGCTGAAAAGCAAGAGCTTGAGGGGATTCACGTCCAGCTTCCTCTTGGCCAGAGCAGATGGCAGCGCTGTTCTGAGGCTCCTGAAGGCGTGCTGCAGCCGCTGACAGAGAAGCTCCTCCTGGGACCCTCCCTCCCAGGACATCTTGGTCCATGTGGAGAAGCTCAGGAATTTAGAAGAGGAATCAGAAAGCTGGGACAACTCTGAGGCTGAGGAGGAAGAAGCTGCTTTCTGTCTTGCCAGAGGGTGTGGAAGGGCGGGAGCTGACCAAATGCCTCACAGGTTCCTCGCTCTCAGACTAAGAGCTGGCAGCCCCCAAAGCGGTCCCTTTAAGTCCCCTCAGCACATGAAAAGCGAACTGAAGGTCCTTTTCAAACTCACCAAGGTGGACAGTCGGCCCAAAGAGGACACGCAGAAGCTCCTGAGTATCCTCGGAGCGTCCGAGGAGGACAACGTCAAGCTGCTCAAGTTCTGGATGACTGGCCTGAGCAAAACCTACAAGTCCCACCTCTTGTCCACAGTCTGGAGCCCCCCGGCCACAGAGCCACGTAATTGGCCCACCATGGAAGTCTGTCTGCGATGCCCTCTGGGAAGTGGTGATGGCCATCCTTGCCATCGCACTCAGAGAGTGGGTGTCTGGTGGCCATCATAGGCTGTCCCATCCTGCACTGCTGGCCCAGAGCTGTGTCCTCGCTGGGAATGTGACTGTTGGGGCTGGCCTGTGCCTGTGTGTGGGGTTTGGGTGTGGTGAGTTCTTGGGATCACCCCACCAGCTGTTTCCATTGCTCCGGCCTGAAGAGGACATGGAGACTTGTGACAAGGACAGGCCCTGTGTCAGTGCCCCCTGAGAGAGAAGACTAAGGAAGCCGTGTCTCCTTTCTCCTGGACTTAGATCTCAGCTCCTACAGGAAGACTTGTCAGGCCAGTCCTGACCTGGGTATTTTAGCCACAACATCATACTTTCTCTTGAGGTTAACATTCAAAACTTTCTGTTCTAAAATGCAACAAGAGTTGTCCAGGTATTAAATGCACACATGTAGTATCACTACAGTTGTGAATTTTCAAGACAGGTGCTGACCTCAGTCATTTTTAGTGGCCTGGCTTTGAGTTAGGGCTCTGGGACAGGCTTTCAGAGCAGAGAGGAGGTGTTTCTCATGGTGGATCCTTGGGAACGCATGTGCTGAAGTCATGTGACTACCAAGTCTTCTGGCCATGCTCCCCTGGTATTGCTTTGAAATTACCCTGAAACACCTTGACCTGGGCCAGGGATTGAGCCTGCAACCCAGGTACGCGCCTTTGACTGGAACTGAATCTGTGACCCATCATCAGTCCATGGGCCAATGCTCCAATCACTGAGCCAAACTGCCTAGGGCCACATGTGTATATTTTAAGTCTCCAAGCTCAGAGAGGCAGAACTCCCTGAAGGCTCCCCATGGTACCTGGAGGACAGTGCATGGTGGAATGGGGTCTGAGAGAGAGAAAGAGAAGATGCCTGGGGTGGGACTCAGGATTAATGTAATGGTGGGACCGTATGCACTATAATTGGATAGTACAAAATCAGAAGGCATATTTTTAGTTAAAAGCAAGTAAATATTTTGTTAAAGAAATTATTCTCACTCGCTGGCGGATTTGATAGAGATTTCTTGATAATATTTCTCGTATTTCATCCATTTCACCAGGCGTAAGCTTCCTTATTTTTTCTTCATGACAGTCACTGAAAGTTTAGAAAAAGAATGATTTATTGTTAAAAAAAGTCTTTCTTAAAGACATAATATCATTATTCTAATATATAAGAAGACAAGGGCTGTCACAACCAAAACAACCAGACAGATGACTGAACAGCAGGCTATGGGGGGCAACAAGGCTGGCAGGGGGGTTAATGAGGGATGACCAAACGACTGAATAGCAGGCTGCATGGGGCAAGCAGTCTGGCAGGGGGGGTGCAGTTGGGGGCGACAAGGCCAGCAGGGGTTGGGGGGGGGGTTTGGAGGCAACCTGGCCAGCAGAGGGGACAGTTAGAGGTGATCAGGATGGAGGGGTGGCATTTAGGAGTGATCAAGCAGGCAGGCAGAAGAGCAGTTAGGAGTCAGCGGTCCCAGATTCTGAGAGGGATGTTCGACTGCCGGTTTAGGCCTGATTCCTGGGATCAGGCCTAAACTGGAGGTTGGACATCTCCTGAGGGGTCCTGGATTGGAGAGGGTGCAGGTTGGGCTGAGAGGATACTCCCCCCCATGCACAAATTTTGTGCACCGAGCCTCTAGTTTAAGAGGAATACTCTTGTTTTTTTTTTTTTTGTTTTTTTTTTTTAAATATATATTTTATTGACTTTTTACAGAGAGAAAGAGAGAGGGATAGAGAGTTAGAAACATCGATGAGAGAGAATCATCGATCAGCTGCCTCTTGCACACCCCCTACCGGGGATGTGCCCACAACCAAGGTACATGCCCTTGACCAGAATCGAACCTGGGACCTTTCAGTTCACAGGCCGACGCTCTATCCACTGAGCCAAACCGGTTTCGGCTAAGAGGAATACTCTTAATTAAGAATGACACTTAGGAATAATTAAACATTTTAAAATGATTTAAAATTCTGAAGTTTTATCTCAGTGCAAGATCACTGGGGACAGTTTAGTCCTGCACAGGCTTTTGCTCATTTTTAAGGAAGTTAAACTATAGTGGCTTTTCATGCTATTGCTTTGTTATTTCTAACCTGTCATAAAAAGGTAACAGGAGTAACCTGTCATAAAAAAGTTTCCAGCAGAAACTTAATTAGCTGTATTTTGCTATCCTGGCTTCACTTTAAAACATGTCATTAAATATGTTTGCAAAAACACCAATGATGATATGCACGTGTGCACAGTCCATCCTCATTACTCAGGGGTTCCAACAGTCACCGGTGGTAAATGCACTTGGTAAGCACACTGCCATGTAGGCACTGCCCAGGCACGGAGGGATGGGTGCAAACTGGAGGGACGTTTGCATGGACTGACGTGCAGGTTCCCAACGAGGGTGAGGCAGCAATGCTCTGCTTTCTGGCCTTAGCTCTGTGCTGTCAAACGGCCCTTCTCGTGGTCTATTTAGTGATAAGTTTTCACATTCTGCGTTTTGTGTTGGTGATTTTGCTGTTTTAAATGGCCCCCAAGCCCAGTTCTGAAGCGGGCCCTGTCCCATTGCACGGGGTGGATGGGCCTTCAGAGAACAGCAGTGCTCCGCAGGCTTCCTTCGAGCATGAGCTGCGGTGCCGTTGGCTGCAAGTTCAATGGCAATGGAACCACAATATTTCATAAGGCATTGTAAAATGGAACAAAGTTGTGCATTGATTGGCTTATTAAGGCATTCTGACCTGAGGTGTCCAGGAGCCCGACCCTGTGTTTCCCCCCCAGAAGCAATGGTTCAATGTTTTCAAATCAGCATCCAAGGGCAACTTTACAGAACCGTAAGTACTGCAAACAATGGGAATGACTATGTTTATATAGTTTTACTCTTAACTCCCTCAATAAATTAAGAAAATAAAGCTGGCCCATAAATATACATAAATGCATACAAAAGATGAGCCAAGGACACACAAAATAAAGAATCAGTTCTCATATTATTTTAAATTCTGCTACTGTAAACCAAGAATAATGGTAATTAGTGGGTACAAACCTGTGTCCAATGGTAATGGACATGCACAAAGAATGAACAAAGAAATTCAAGGCTTCATCTAACTTTTCTATATTTAGACAATTCATCATTGCCTCCTTTGCTTAGAGGGTTTTTAAGAAGCATCTTTTCAGATTGAGACATTGTGGTTAGATAGCTGTCCAACTTTCTAGCTTAATTTAATTAAATTAACATAATTTTAAAGTTGAAATGAACAAATAAGGTCAACAAAAAACAATCTTTTTGGTGTCTGATTTTCTTTTTTCTTTCTTTTTGTTAATTCTCACTTGACAATATTTCTTTCATTATTTCTAGGGAGAGAGGAAGGGAGGGGCAGAGGCACCGAGAAAGAAACATCGATGTGAGAGAGACACATCGATTGGTTGCCTCCTGCTCAGCCCTGACCAGCACTGGGGAATGAGCATGCAACAAAGGTACATGCCCTTGACCAGAATCAAACCCTGGGCCCTTCAGGCTGTGGGCCGGCGCTCTAACCATTGGGCAGCCAGGCTAGGGATGGTATCTGATTTTCTTGTGCGATGTTCCCACCAAGTTTTAAATAACATATGTTTGCATAAATCTAGTAACAAGAGCACAACTACCTTCCTTGTTTACACTTAAAACACCCAGCACAATTCTGAATTTGTGTATTTTACTTGTGGTTCTGTCAAGTTTTGGTTAATATATTTGAGGATGTTATATTTGTGTGCTAATTTAGACTTACTATGCCTTCTTATAGATTTGAAACTTTATCATTATAAAATGTATTTACTTATAGCAATATTTTTGCATAATGTTTACATATTATGGTAATGTGAATATACAAACTTTCTTTTGTTTAATGCTTTAATGTAGGGGTGTCGAACTCAATCAGAGAAGGGGCCAAAATCTAAAATCCAGCCTAAATCGCGGGCCGAATGGTTTACTGAACAGTCATAAACTGTCATTGTGATGGAAATGCAGCGGAGTGCAGTGATGACAGCGAGGTGCGGGCCACGTTGCAAGGCCTGGCGGGACGGATTTGGCCCGCGGGCTTTGTGTTTGACACATGTGCTTTAATGGTATAACTTTCTCAGCCTTTTATTTCTAGCCATCCTCTACCCTTACATATAAGTAGTATCTTTTTTAAACAACATCTAGTGAGTAGTGTATTTTTATACATTCTAATCATCTCTCCCTTTTAAATGGAGTAAGTTCATATTTAATATAATTTGTTTTAAAGATTATTTTCTTATTATTTGCATTCTGTGTGTCCTCTATGTTCTATGATTGTTTATTCTAGTTTGTTGCCCTCTTAGAATTAATTTTATTTTGTTATTTCATTTTTCTTCTATGTTGGCTTGTTACCTTCTTTAACTATTTTTTTAGTGGTTATCTGAGATTATAATATTAATTGTTGACTTATTAAAGTCCAAAATACATTTTTATTTTTACTACTTACTGAACAATACTATTTACCTCCCTCTCAATTTATAAGCTATTATTATAGTTAGTTTTAAGTCTGTATAAATTTAAAACCCACAGACATTATTATTTTATGCAATTTATATTCATTAAATTTTACAGCTATTTTCCATTCCCATTGTTTTAATCCCTCTTTCATCTGTAAGCTATTCTATGAAACCCTTTATCATTGACTTCAATATGATGGTTTTCCTCTGAAATATTTTTAGTATACTTTTTTTGAAGGGTGTTATAGCATGATATGAAACTAGGTTATAAGTTACTTTCTTTCAAAAATTTTAAGATAACAATGGTTTCCACTGTGTTTGTTGAAAAATAATTGTCAGGTTTTTTTTCTTTTAAAGAAATAGGTCTCTTTTTCTCTGTGTATGTTTAAATTTTCTCTTTGTGCTTTTGATCTTCAGAAGTTGTTACTGTCATATACCTGCATTTAGTTTTCTTCATATCTAATTTGCTTCGGTTTGTTATGTTTTGTTTCTTTTATCTGTTTGGGGAAATTATTAGTCATTTTGTCTTAAAATATTGCTTTTACCAACTCTTCTCTTACTTCCCTTTGGAACTTTAAATAGTATTTCTTTATTGATTATGGTGTTACATATGTGTCCTTACCTTTTGGAACTTTTGACTATCTTCCATATGTTTCTTACTTTCTTTTCCACATTTCCATCTCTCCCCCCCCTATCCCCCATTTTGTGATTCATTCTGGTTTTCTTTTCTCCTATCTCCCAATTTATCAATTATATAAATTTCAGCTGTATCTAACCTGTTTACACCTATCAAATGAGATCCTAAATTTAGTTGCTTTATTTTTAGCTCAAATATTCCATTAAGATGTTTTTATTCATGTAATCTCCATGCCAATGCCCAAAATGCCAATGCTCTTTTCTTTTTTAGGCTTATATATTTTATTTTAAAGCCCATGCTTTTAAAATAAATTTTTATTTATATCAGAGAGGAAGGCAGAGGGAGAGATAGAAACATCAATGATGAGAGTGATGAATTGGCTGCCCCCTCCTGGGGATTGAGCCTGCAACCCGGGCATGAGCCCTTGACAGGAATCAAATGCAGGACCCCTCTATCCACTGAGCCAAGCCAGGAAGGGCTAAAGGCCATGTTTGATAACTCAATTATCTGAGTTCCCCTTTTACCTGATACTATTCTGTTTTTATCTTTTTCTCAATGTTTTCAGTCACATTTCCTTGTCTACTCATTTTCTTTTGATTGGTTGCTAAACATTAAATATGAAAAATCATAGAGACAGTTTAAGGCTCTTTATGCTCTTATTTTCTTCCAGAGAATAGTTACTTTTCCTTCCATAAAAGACTGGGATAAGGGGAATATCACGCTCAGGTGACTAGCAGCCGTGGATTAAGAGGATCCGAGATGGGCTTCTTTGATTGGAAGGTTAAGGTCAGGCTGTGAGGTAACACCTGCGGCTGGATACCAGCGCCTCCCTCTTGTGGGCTGAGTTCCCGTCTTATCTCCATGACCTGTCAGTCCGACAAACCTCTGTTCTACCTTTTGGACTCAGACTCCTTCTCTGTGACCCAGGAGGAAACAGCACCCAATGCCGGCTCTGTCTTCTTGGTTCCCTTTCCTCGTGACTCTTGGCTGAAAACGTTCCCCCATGCTGGTACTTCCCTGCTTACAAGCAGGATATTAATATATATATATATTTATACCCCCCCCCCCCCATTTATTCTCAGAAGCTGGTTTGGTCAGTAGCCCTCAGTCCATTATTAGAAATACTAGTGGCCTGGTGCATGAAATTCATGCACATTAAAAGGCAATTAATTAGAGGAAATATTTTAATATTGCGATCTGCCCTTTCTCTATAATATAAGTGTCAAAGATGAAGAAAATTAGTAAAATGTATATGAAAATCTTCCTTCTGTCAGAGTATGGGGTGTGCTGTGGGACCCAGAATCAAGTCCCTGCCCACCCGTGCATGCCTTGAAATTGCGTGAGACCCTGACCGGGCCGATCCCACCCCCATTGGGCAAGATCCAGTCTTGGCCGGTCCAACCCCCATCAAGCCCCACTGGGCAGGAAGGTGAAGCCTCAGGTCCCCTGCCCCAGCCCAGCTCCAGGCAGCCTCAGGTTCCTGCTGATCACTTGTCATGGGAACCCCACCTCTGCTGTGGGCGCAGCCATCTTGTGTGTGATGGTTAATTTGCATATTACCTCTTTATTACATAGTATGGTTCCTTTTTATCTCTCCTTTTGCTTCTCCTCTCCTCTAGATAAAACATTTTGGGAGAGGTGGAGTGGTTCATAAGGCACTCATTCAGCCAACTGTGCAGCAGCCATTCATTCTGTTGCCGAGTTGCCTAGTCCTAAACACTTGCCTTTATCTACTACCAACTGCAAAATGAACCATGAACAGAGAGTAGACCTGAGAATTCTCTCTTCTGTGATCACAGAAACAGTGGCTATCCTTTGAGAAGCTGGCTAACTGAATCCTCCTTTGTTTCAGCTGTAAATGGAATGGTGCATAAGAAAGACCTTGAAATTGTAAAGCTAGAGGGAAACTTAAGGATCAGTGTAGCTCCGTTTTCTACTTGGAAAGCTCAGGGCAATAAATGGACCAACGTAAGGGCACACAGAGTGTTCTCCGCTGAGTGCAACTATAAGTCAATTATTCTGCTCAGGTCACTGTTTATGGCACAACGTGATGCCTTGACCTCCAGGCTGTCCTGGTCACTGTTTCCCTTCATGCTGGCTTGCATAAACTCCCATACTTCTCACAGGAGACTGGGAGTCCTAGTAAAATCATGGTTTATGTGGTTGGGTGTGATTTGAAGCTTTCTCTCTCATGTAAACACTCCCACTGTTAGAATTTTAATTAGATGACATTTAGTTTAAATGAGCTTCAGGCTCATCAGCGAAAGCAGTAGAACCTGTCATTCTGTTCTGCTATAAGTTTGCTGTTAGACTTTGGGTTTTATAAGTAAATCACTTCACAATTCTGAGTATTCACTTCCTCTGTTTTATTTTATTTATTTTTAAAATATATGTTTAGAGAGAGAAACCAAGATGGCGGCATAGGGTAGACACCCAAATGCAGTCTACCACAACAAATTTGAATTTAGAACTGAAAAACAGGGGAGGCATTGCCCTGAAGCGCCAGACGGCTGGCTGAGAGGAGGCTCTGCCATCTGGGAAGGAGAGAGAAGGCACGCTGAACCTCAGGAACTGTGAAGGACTTTTCTAAGGCGAGACTGACAGGGAACCAAAGATTGTCTGCGCCACCCTGAGACCCTGCCCTATTCAAGCAGAGTACGGAAACGCTCCTAGCTGAGATACTGCTGATCCTCACAGCCAATTGCCTTGGAGATCAACGCTTCCCAGTGATACCAACAATAAGCAAGGCTTAACAACAAGACTGCACACACAGCCCACAAAGGGCTACACCAAGACTGTCCACTGCAGGTAACTGGGAAGGCTGTGCTACTGGGCTCTACCAGAACACCTAGCACACAAAGCTATTCCATCAACTCAGGGAAACAACTAAAATGCAGACAAGAAGAAGGACACAAAGGAAGGAGATGGAGGAAAGAAAAGATTGGACATTTGAGTTCAAAACTACAGTTATAAGGTTATTCAACAATATCCTAAAAAAGGCCGATAAAATAAATGAGACCTATGAGGATATGAAAAGGGAGCAACTAGAAATAATAAGGGATCAACAAGAAATGAAGAAAACATTGTCTGAAATAAAAAATATTATACAAAGTCCTAAAAACAGACTGGAAGATCACAAGAATCAAGACAGATTTAGAACACGAAGAGCCAGAGGACACTCCTCTGCAGAAGGGAGAAGATAAGAGAATCCAGAAAGTTGAAGATAGTGTAAGAAACCTCTGGGACAATTTCAAGTGAACTAACATCAGAATTATGGGGATTCCAGAAGAGAGAGAGCAAGATACCGAAAGAGTACTAGAAGAAATAGTGACAGAAAACTTCCCCCACCTGGGGAAAGAAATAGACTTACAAATCCAGGAAGCCCGCAGAACCCCAAACAAAAGGAATCCAAGGAGGACCACACCAAGACATATCATAATTAAAATTCCAAGAGCAAAAGACAAAGAGAGAATATTAAAAGCAGCAAGAGAAAAGCAGGTAGTGACCTATAAAGGAGCACCCATAAGATTGTCAGCTGATTTCTCAACAGAAACCATGCAGGCCAAACGGGAATGGCAAGAAATATTCAAGGTGATGAATAACAAGAACCTACAGCCAAAAATAATCTACCCAGCAAAGCTATCACTCAGAATCAAAGGACAGATAAAGAGCTTCACAAATAAAAAAAAGCTAAAAGAGTTCATCACCACCAAACCAGAATTATATGAATTGCTGAAGGAGGTTATTTAGGAAGAGGAAGAAGATAAAGATAAAAATTATGATCAACAAATACGTAGCTATCAACAAGTGAATCTAAAAACCAAGGGAATTTAAAAATCTGATGAACAATATTAACTGGTGAATATAATAGAATCAGAGGTATGGAAGGGGAGTGGACTGACGATTCTCAGGGAAAAGGGGTGTGGGGGTGAGGGAAGAGACTGAACAAAAACTGTGCACCTATGGATGAGGACAATGGGGGATGGGGAAAGGACAGAGGGTGGGGTGGAAACCTGGTGAAGGGGAGCAATTGAGGGGGGGAAGAGGATCACATTTGTAATAATCTGAACAATAAAGATTTATTTAAAAAAAAATAAAAAAAAAACAAACAAAGAAAAAAAAATATATGTTTATTGATTTCAGAGAGGAAGGGAGAGGGAGAGAAATCAAGCTAAAGGAGTGTGAATGTAAAATGTTCAAAGGAGGTCTGTGTTTACCAACCACCATTTAAAGAAAACAAACCAAGAAAGAGATGAAAGGTCAAAAACTCCCTCTTGGATTTGGAGTGAGAGAGTTCCTGCATCTGTCCAAGAGGGTCATCTGCTGTGTGAAAAGCCAGGGTTCGGCAACAGGGGATATTTTCTTCCTCTCAGGGGATTATGAAGAGCATCCATGACAGTAAGGGGGTGGGTGGGTGGGTGGGTGGGTGCTGTCATTGAAAAGGCTAGGCGAGCAGGGAGAGCTATATATACCATTTAAAGGCATACCCTATCCGCTTTCCTTTCACAGCATCCTACACTGGAGATTGAGCTGGTAACCTGGGCATGTGCCCTGAGCAGGAATCCAACCCTCACCTCCTGGTTCCTAGGTTGACGCTCAACCACTGAACCATGCTGGCTGGGCTCCTCTGTTTTAAAACTAAGGAGACGTACTTGGTCAGTGGGTCCCAGTCCCGCTTTAATTAAAACCATATGAAGGGCTTATAAAGCCGCCTGTCCCTGGTCCTTGGCTGCAGAGATCCTGACCCTGTTGGTCTGGGTGGGCCTTGTAGCTCTGGGCATTCCTGCTCCCAAGATGCTTCTAACAGGCGCCTGGGCTGAGAAACACTGCAGCAGAAATCACCAAACTGATGTCCTTTCTGGCCTTAAACTATGATACTGTGCCATCTCCAAGGAAATCTATCCTATATAATGAAAGGCTAATATGCAAATGACTGAATGACTGGTCGCTGTTCAGGCACTGACTACCAGGGGGCAGATGCTCATCGCAGGAGCTGCCCCCTGGTGGTCAGTGCACTCCCACAGGGGGAGTGCCGCTCAGCCAGAGCTGGGCTCACAGCTGGTGAGTGCAGTGGTGGTGGCAGGAGCCTCTCCCGCCTCTGCAGCAGTGCTAAGGATGTCCAACTGACAACTTAAGCCCCTTCCCCAAGAGCAGGCCTAAGCTGTCAGTTGGACATACCCGAGGGCTCCCACACTGTGAGAGGGCGCAGGCCCAGCACTGGGCCTCTAGTATATAAAAGCCTAGGTGACCGGCCCATTGGCTGACTGGCCAGTAGCTATGACACACACTGACCACCAGATGTTCAACGTAGGAGCTGCAGAGCTGCAGTGACTTGGCAGCTGTGGTTCTTGGGTGACGCACCCAGAACCAGAGAGGAGGGAGCCTGATTCTGGGGTACCAAGAATCAACCTCTTGAAATCCGGGACCCCTTGGGAGATGTCGGAGAGCCGGTTCAGCCCGGTCCCTGCAGGCCAGTGTGCACCGGGCCTTTAGCAGCTAAATAACTTCCTGCAAACAGAACACGCCTAGTATCCCACTGCAGAGCGCCTCCGACCAACTTACTTCCCAAAGCATCGAGTTTCCCTGAGCACAGCCACCCTACACATGACGAGGCATCCTCTGACTAGCTGATTTTAAAATTACAGACGAGATGAGACGTGCCGTAACACAGCATAAGACACATTTCTACACTTTCACTTTTAAGCAGATTTGCATTCTTCTGTGCGATCTGAAGGTCTCTCTCTAGGACTCTGGGCGAATTTGATATTACTGGCTTCAAAACCCCCCAAACTAAGGTTATCGGCGCCCTTGGCGAGGCCAGCTCTGTCTGTGAGGGTGCTTACTTCAGAGACGCAAACGAAGGCCCTGCGCTCCGCAGCCCGGTCTCCGCCATCTCGATGGCGTGCTTTATCTCCAGCTTCTTGTACAAGGACACAATGCTCGACTTGGGCTGGTTTTCCCGAATCAAAAGCTTCCGCAGGTATTTGTCATCAAACTTTTTAAACCTGGAAATAAGGAAAATCAAAGCTTTGATTAATTAATGTTACCGACACCAAGCATGTCAAGCTGCGGGACGCATCGCATTGGGCCCAGAACAAACATTTTTGTGGCCCAGCTAATATAACAGATGTAAGCAACGTTTTAATAAATATCTCATAACTTAACTTTTACACTATCCCATTACACATAATTATTAATGACGAACCACAATGTCGCTAATGGCTGATCACTATAATCGTGCTTCCTTCATTTCCCTCATGCACCTTATGCGCAGGCGCCCATTTCTCTCCACTGACACCAGCAACGAGTATTTCAGCAGCCAACGGCCACGTCATTAGTCTGGGACTGACTTGTTTGGTGAGTGCAACAGGAAATATTTTGTTTTTGGAGAAAAGAAGAGTAGATTTATTTGCATTATGCTTATTTGTGCAGTTATTTAGTGTCTGTTAATTCAAGAAAAATATTATTTTTTATTAAAACGTTCTATTATTTTATGTTAACAATTACTCATTTATTTTAGCCTTTGTATCAAAATAAACCTACGTTTCTATGAAAATTGAAACTTGTTTTTTTGCGGCCACATAAACTTACACCTTGTTTATTTGGCCCGTGTTAGCATTTGAGTTTGACATGCTTGACCTACACTAAGAAAAAACTTGTTTTCAGCAATGAAATAATTTCTACTATTCCCGGGGAAAATGTAGTAGCAGTGATGATCATTATAATTATTTTAAAATGTGCATACCTGAATACATATGTCCATAAAATATGGATACATGCAAATAAAAAAATATATAGCACATATTAACACATGAATCTACAACAGTATGTATTTCTACATTTCTTATTTTCCTGCTGCTCTTTTCAGCAAAATTATTCAAAAGTGTTGTTAATATTCTGTGTCTACAATTCCTCTCCTTTAATTCTCTCTTGAAAATTTAGGCTTTTCCCTCCAATACCCAATTCCAGTTACCCATTTTGAAATAACCAGTATTCCCCCCACCACATAAACCCAATGGCCAACTACTTAGCTCTCCGCGTTTCTGACCTCTCCTGTTCAACAGTGTCTTCTGAGAAACACACGGCTCTGGGTCCCTGCCTACCTCTCCCTCAACCGCCTTTTAGAATCCTTTTCCTCTTCCCGTCCTCTTCGTGCAGAAGTGGCCGGCTCTGCCTCTGGGCCTCTGCTCCACCTCCACGCCCCGCCTGGTAAACTTGCCCAGTCGCATGGATTTTAATAGCATCGCTGGCCATGACTCTCACATGTGTCTCTATAGCTCCAGCCTCTCTCCCAAACCCCAGAAATAAGTGTTCAGCGTCCTCATCACATCTCCCTGTGGCTGGGAGTAGACCTCTCACCTCCGTGCGCTCAACCTGGGCTTGTCTCCTCCGTAACCCGCCCATTTCCGTTACTGCGAGCTCCACCAGGTCAGAACCCTGGCGTTATCTTTGATTCTTCTTCTCTTGTGTTCCATGTTATAACTGAACTAGTGACCCGGTGCACAAAATTCGTGTACATTAAAAGGGGGTTAAATAGAGGAAATAATGTAATATTGCTATTTGCCCTTTCTCTATAATAGAAGTGTCTCTATAATAGAAAAAAATTAGTAAAATGTATATGAAAACCTTTCTCCTGTCAGAGTTTGGGGCTCATAATGAGACTGGAGTCAAGTCCCTGCCACCCACATGTGTCTCAAAACTGCATGAGACCCAGATCCAGCTGGCACCCCCCTCATTGGGCTAGATACAGACCCAGCCACTCCCACCCTTGTCAAGCCCTGCCGGGAGCGTGGCCTTAGGTCCCCAGGCCTGGCACCAGGGTGGGCTGAGATTCTCCGTGAGTCCTGAACAGTGGAGGACATGGCCTGAGATCCCCTGTCAACCCTGCCAGGCTGGGGGTATGGTTTGAGGTCCCCTGGCTTGGTGCTGGGGCGGGGGGAGCAGCCTGAGGTCCCCTAGCCCAGCACCAGGACGGGAAGCGCACCTTGAGGCCCCTTGTCAAGCCCCACGTGGGTGGGGAAGGGTGTAACCTCAGGTCCCCACTGACTGCTCGTTAAGGCTCCTTTTTCCCCCCTAAATATATTTTATTGATTTTTTACAGAGAGGAAGGGAGAGAGATAGAGAGCTAGAAACGTCAATGAGAGAGAAACATCGACCAGCTGCCTCTTGCACACCCCCACCGGGGATGTGCCCGCAACCAGTGTACATGCCCTTGACCGGAATTGAACCCGGGACCTTTCAGTCCGCAGACCGAAGCTCTACCACTGAGCCAAACCAGTTTCGGCTCATTAAGGCTCCTTATGTGAACTTGGCCTCTGCTGTGGGTGCAGCCACCTTTGTGACGAAGTGATGGTCAATTAGCACATTCCCTCTCTATTAGATAGGATGGTGTCCATCTAAAATTCCAGAAGGCCAGCCCCTCAGAATGTGGCCATATGTGGAGACAGGAGTGATTACATGATGATGAGGCCACTGGAGTGGACCTGAGTCCACATGGCCTGTCTGTGTAATAAGAGAAAACGTGGACAAACATGCACTGAGGGAAGATGCCATGAAGAGGCAGGAGGAAGAAGGCCGTCTAGCCAAGGAGAGAGGCCTGTGACAGGCCCGTCCCTCATGGCCCTCAGAAGGAACACCCACCAGCACGCTGACCTTGGACTTGTAGCCCACAGAACTGAGAAAATAAACTGCTATTGTTTAAGCCATCCCAATGGTGGTACTTTGTTACAATCCCCTGGCAAACAAATTCCCCCTGTTCACCCTATCAGCAGTTTCTCTTGGTGCCAAAATACCTACAAAACCCAACCATTCCTCACCACTTCTACTGCTTTCACCACGCTCAAGACCTGCTTATCTCTCCGTGAATTCTTACAACGGGAACCTGATTGGTCTCCCTACTCCCAACGCTGCATTCCTACCCATTCCTGACACAGGAGGCCAGTGATCCTGTTAAAACAGAGGTCAACCAGACTCCCCTGCATCTCCCCTGAGGAAAAGCTGTGACCTGGAAACCCTATACAGCTTAGTGCTCCTCTAACTGCGTCCCTCAGCCTTCCTGTCCTACCTGACGTCCTCGCTGGTGTCCTCCCTGGTGTCCTCCCTGACGTCCTCCCTGGTGTCCTCCCTGACGTCCTCCCTGACGTCCTCCCTGGTGTCCTCCCTGGTGTCCTCGCTGGTGTCCCTCCCTGACGTCCTCCCTGGTGTCCCTCCCTGACGTCCTCCCTGGTGTCCTCCCTGACGTCCTCCCTGGTGTCCTCCCTGGTGACCCTCCCTGACGTCCTCCCTGGTGTCCTCCCTGACGTCCTCCCTGACGTCCTCCCTGGTGTCCTCCCTGACGTCCTCCCTGGTGTCCTCCCTGGTGTCCTCCCTGGTGTCCTCCCTGACGTCCTCCCTGGTGTCCTCCCTGACGTCCTCCCTGGTGTCCTCCCTGGTGTCCTCCCTGACGTCCTCCCTGGTGTCCTCCCTGGTGTCCTCCCTGGTGTCCTCCCTGACGTCCTCCCTGGTGTCCTCCCTGGTGTCCTCCCTGGTGTCCTCTCTGACGTCCTCCCTGACGTCCTCCCTGGTGTCCTCTCTGACGTCCTCCCTGGTGTCCTCCCTGACGTCCTCCCTGGTGTCCTCCCTGGTGTCCTCTCTGACGTCCTCCCTGGTGTCCTCCCTGACGTCCTCCCTGGTGTCCTCCCTGACGTCCTCCCTGACGTCCTCCCTGGTGTCCTCCCTGGTGTCCTCGCTGGTGTCCCTCCCTGACGTCCTCCCTGGTGTCCCTCCCTGACGTCCTCCCTGGTGTCCTCCCTGACGTCCTCCCTGGTGTCCTCCCTGGTGACCCTCCCTGACGTCCTCCCTGGTGTCCTCCCTGACGTCCTCCCTGACGTCCTCCCTGGTGTCCTCCCTGGTGTCCTCCCTGACGTCCTCCCTGACGTCCTCCCTGGTGTCCTCCCTGGTGTCCTCCCTGGTGTCCTCCCTGACGTCCTCCCTGGTGTCCTCCCTGACGTCCTCCCTGGTGTCCTCCCTGGTGTCCTCCCTGACGTCCTCCCTGGTGTCCTCCCTGACGTCCTCCCTGGTGTCCTCCCTGGTGTCCTCCCTGGTGTCCTCTCTGACGTCCTCCCTGACGTCCTCCCTGGTGTCCTCTCTGACGTCCTCCCTGGTGTCCTCCCTGACGTCCTCCCTGGTGTCCTCCCTGGTGTCCTCGCTGACGTCCTCCCTGGTGTCCTCGCTGACGTCCTCCCTGGTGTCCTCCCTGACGTCCTCCCTGGTGTCCTCGCTGGTGTCCTCCCTGACGTCCTCCCTGGTGTCCTCCCTGGTGTCCTCCCTGGTGTCCTCCCTGACGTCCTCCCTGACGTCCTCCCTGACGTCCTCCCTGGTGTCCTCGCTGACGTCCTCCCTGGTGTCCTCCCTGACGTCCTCCCTGGTGTCCTCGCTGACGTCCTCCCTGACGTCCTCCCTGGTGTCCTCCCTGACGTCCTCCCTGGTGTCCTCCCTGGTGTCCTCCCTGGTGTCCTCCCTGACGTCCTCCCTGACGTCCTCCCTGATGTCCTCCCTGACGTCCTCCCTGGTGTCCTCCCTGGTGTCCTCGCTGGTGTCCTCCCTGACGTCCTCCCTGGTGTCCTCCCTGACGTCCTCCCTGGTGTCCTCGCTGATGTCCTCGCTGGTGTCCTCCCTGGTGTCCTCGCTGGTGTCCTCCCCGGTGTCCTCCCTGACGTCCTCCCTGGTGTCCTTGCTGGTGTCCTCCCTGACGTCCTCCCTGGTGTCCTCTCTGACGTCCTCCCTGGTGTCCTCCCTGACGTCCTCCCTGGTGTCCTCCCTGGTGTCCTCCCTGACGTCCTCCCTGACGTCCTCCCTGGTGTCCTCCCTGACGTCCTCCCTGGTGTCCTCCCTGGTGTCCTCGCTGGTGTCCTCCCTGGTGTCCTCCCTGATGTCCTCCCTGACGTCCTCCCTGACGTCCTCCCTGGTGTCCTCCCTGACGTCCTCCCTGGTGTCCTCGCTGGTGTCCTCCCTGGTGTCCTCCCTG